CAGAGTGGAAGGTTAGCCCATAAAATGTGAAGCTTCATACCACCGAAGCCTGAGATGAAATTAAGCCGTGTGACTACAGAACCAACAGCACAAAACGCAGGGTGCCTTCATTGACGTTACTGGCACCAGAGAACACATTAATGTGCTCAGGATGCTCAGAGCACTATACAGGATCAGGCCTTTTGAAATTGGCTATTCATCACATCCAAATTGAATGTAATTGTCAGCCCTGAAGAGCTAATTGGATTATTCTCTCTCAGTGCTAACAGTGAAAGTGAGAAAGCAGGTTAGATTATCACTGGGCCTTAGGCAAAATTAAACAAGACCATTGCATAACTATTCATAAATAAGCAGGAAGAATGCAGGAGTCTCCCGATTTAAACAGCAATTGTCTTCTGTTTCTCTTCAGCCTGTGGAAACATTCCCCTACTAAACCCACCCCTTCAGTTACAGTCCTCCTGTTTCAGTACAGCTTAGCATCCTCTAGCAGTTAGACCTAGCAGCTCAAGACTGCCACATAGCTGACTCCTACCTCTCACCCTGACTTGATTTTGAGTTTGGGAGTACAAGAAAGGGATCTCGCAGGATTCCCAAGTTTATCTCATCAGCTCCTTTGGTTCTGCTCTCATGGAAGAGTCCTCCTGACAAAGTAACAAGGGCTTATACAGCTTATACTTGACAACAGTTTCAGCCCAAGACTCAAGGTGGACCCCCTGATAGCCAACCCATAAAACTACTTGGTTTTCAACCCAGCTGGCTGCAGTAAGTAACTCATGGCTTCAAGATCATCCATAAACCTGTCTGTTTCTCTCTTCCCTCACTAAAAATACTCATACAGACAGGAGATGAGTATAAATGAACATTTGGGTCACCAGGCTTGTCCTTTGCTTCAAAACCCATGAAAGTACCCTGAGAGGATGAGGAGGCATTAGCAAATTCTGAGGCTCCTTGGAAACATCGTATTTTTTCCATAATACTCCATGATTATTATACTTTTCACTGTCTCAGTCTATCATCACACTAAGTAGAGTACCAGGAAGAACTTGTCCTCCATCCCAAGCATTCAGCTTTTTAACTTAGAAAACTGGCATAGTCACTTACGTTATGCATTATGCCTGAAGCCCTTGCTTACTATGCTACCAACATTCTGATTGCATAGACTACCAACTGCCTCATCCATTTCATTTAATTACAAAGTAATACCAAAGCAGAGACGACCCCCTTAAATCCAGGAGGAGTTACAGGCGAAGAAGAGGATCAATTCACTGCCTGCGCAGTTTGTTGAGCATCCAGACTAACCATAAGGCCACTCACTACATTTACATTCAAACTGTGTGAGACACTTTCAAATAATTCCTTGACACATTTCTATGCCAATGCAGTGGTAAAAAGCTCCTAAATTATGCACTTGATTTTTTTCCTCAGCAGATACTCACCGCAACATCAGTGGGGACACGTACAAGTGAAGCTTGTATTAAAACCAGCTGTGGAGGTCTTCATACCCCTGAAGTCCAAAGAAGCGGTCTTGCCAACTTGCTTGTCATTCGCATGGTCAAACCATAGTTGAGAATTTAAGGATTTTACCCACAAAAGAAAAGAGAAAGACCCGTTCCCCTGAAAGGAATAACAATAAGTGGGCTGTGTAAGGTTTAAAATACCACCTTAAACTTTATCCTTTAATAATGAGATGTGATGCTCAGTGTTACGACCTATTTTCAGACAATGGCTTAATTAAACATCTAATGAATGCATCCCATTTCTTTGCAGGAGCTCCACTCTAAACAGGCAAGCTAATAATGTAAACATCACTGGTTGATTACTAAAATAATTGCTTTTCCTGGCAAACAAAATGGCTGGTGCCAGCCATCCAATGCACCTGCAGGGCAGGGGCCTCATTTTGGCTTACTGATTCACAGTTGAGCATCAGCTTTAAGAAGAAATCCTAAGGGAAAGGTTTTGAAGGGGGTGAGATTTTCACCTGGAGATTTGGCTCACTTAATCAAGCAAACTTATAAACCCATCATTCATTAACCAAATGTCTGCTTTTAAGGAGTTGTCCCCAAGCAGAGACACAGCAGCAGCAGCTTCAGGATGTTTCCTCAAACAAATCTGCATCAGATTAACCAAAACCGTGACCTTCCTCTAAGCCAAAATCCTGCAGCTGTGGAGGGTTTGCATCCAGATTATGGAGGTTTCTTTTCCAGAAGTTACTTTAGAAAGGACCATGCATTTTCAGCAAGGCTTTAATGAAAAAAAAGATGGACATTTCACCCGCCACCCCCCACCCCACCCAGTTTCATAGCCAAAAAACTGAGTGATTTTGCAAAACGGTGACAAATTTTCAAGGCTCCAAGTAAAAAAACTCTCAGTGAAATGTGTTGTCAAAACATTTTGAAAGTCTGTCAACAGCTCTATTTCTTAGAAACCATGATCTGGTGACGCTTGAAATATTGTCTTGTCCATGCTGAAGCAGCTAAACCGTGTTCCTTGCTGCTTCAGCTTAGTGGTTTTTACTGCATGGAAAGTTACCGGCATGCTTTCGTATCTATTGCGTGATTCTTTCAGCTATTTGTCATCCCACCAGTGTCATCCTGCCATACCCAGGGAATCTCCAGATATGAGAGCTCCTCCAGTGTCAGTTAGCTTCTACACCTTGGCAAGTTTCAGTCCTGCAACCCAAGGAAGGAGATGATTTTTAAGTCTCCACCATAACCCCAGAGGGGAGAGCCCATGGCATGAAGACGAGTTACACAGTCATTTCAAACCATCTTCCCACTAAAAACATAGACTCATAAAACAGTTTGGGTTGGAAGGGACCTTAAAGCTTCTCCAGTCTCAACCCCCTGCCATGGGCAGGGACACCTTCCACTAGAGCAGGTTGCTCCAAGCCTCATCCAAACTGACCTTGAACACTGCCAGGGACTGGGCAGCTACAGCTTCTCTGGGCAATATCCTTGCAATTCCACCTACGTGCACAGTAGCTGAAATTGCTGAGCACTCCAGAGAACTGGACCCACATTTTTTAATGTTTTCAAAGAGAGGGGGGGACAGAGGGAGGGGGAAGGAACAGTCGTATTTCCCCTACAAACACAAAATTACCAGGAATCCAAACCCCAATATCCAGCTGCAGCAACAGAATTCCCATGTCTTCAGGTAAATCAGCTTAGATTTTACAGCAATGGATTGCATGTCACCATTCCTGGATTACGGAAGTGGAAATTATTTCTAACTACAGCCATTGGCACTAAATGGTTCGTATCTGACCCATTTTATTAAGTCCTTAAGTGCTGTTACTTCCCACTGCTATAGGCTTTGTGATTTATTGGTTTACTTGCTTTAACTTTATGTGGGTTTAGTATTCAGAATGGGGCACAACTGACACTTGGTAATAGGAGACACTTTTTTCTTATGGATTGCCTTATTGGCTGCCTTGAGCATAACAGGAGACTGGAGATCTTTGACACTTCTGCTCACTTTCCTTCCACCTCTACTGAACAAAATGCTTTAGCACAAAAGCAATAATGGCAAAAAGCAAAGTTTAAACAAGTTAGTGGCTATCAAAACGCGACATTTGAGTATTTTGTAAACTAAGTTGTTGCATTGTATCTGTGGCCTTTTCCTTGGAAGCTTAGGTGTAAAACCAAGCCAGTTTCTTCAGCTGGAGGGTAAGAACAGTCTGTGAGGAAGGGAAGAAATTCTCCCATTACAGATGTGGCCGGTAACATGAAACCAAAGGGCAGAGAAAAAACTCTCAGATCCAAAATAAGAAATAAATGTGTGAAGTAGAGCTGCGGAGAAATCCTAGCAATGGTAAATATCCATTTGCTAAAAGACATCAAGCGGCTACCTAGAGGCAGCAGGGATCTTCTGTATGAAAAATACAAACCCCAGGTTATCATCCCCTTCACGCGGGTTTGCAGCACTGGCATCACTCCCATCCTCTTTGAAATACTTGATAAAAACAACAGGAATGTTATTATTTACTACAAGTCTCCCGTGAAAGGACTGCAGTTCTTGCTGCAGCCTAACGGATAAGAACTCGGCTACACTGTTTGTTCCAAGACAAGCAGCAAAGAAAGAATCCACCGGCTGGGGGGAAAAGACATTACCGTTCAGCCGCTAGCTAAGATTGAATGGGCATTTGGCACCGATCCCCAGATTTATCGTTTTCTTGGGTCTAACTTCGTGCAGCCCAAAACCTGGAGTCAGATCAGAAACAACAATTCGTGCACCTCGGAATGGTCGGTATTAATTACTTAACGCTACACCAGCTCCCTCAAAAACACCTCTCCCGGCACCAGGCATAGAAAGGATGGTTTAAACCTAAAAACCCACTGCAGGGGCAAAGCGCATCGCACACATTGACGAGGGGGCAACCGCGTTTGCTTTGTCCGCCAAACTCCGGTGGCGCCCGGGGGGGACCCGGCAGCCGTCCGGTTCCGCGGCGGTGAGGGCAGGGAGCGGCATGGAAAGAGCAAGGAAAGGGAAGAGAGGGAAAGGAAAGGCAGGGCAGGGCAGGGTAAGGTAAGGCAGGGCCGCCCCGCCCCGTCCCGTCCCTCCCCCGGCCGGGCTCAGCGGCACCCTGGGGGCGCGGCACGGGCGGCGGCGTCCCGGCCCGGGGGGGCGCGGTGGCGGGGCCGGGGGTCTCTTCCTCGCCGGGGATGCGGCTCCCCGGGGGCCGCGCCGCACGCTCCCGCCCTCCGCCCGCCGTCGACCGGGCGCCGTGCGGAGCCTCCGCCTCCCCGCAGCGGTTTCCCCCGCGGCGGGGCCGCCGCCGCCGCCGCCCCGCATGGCCAGAGCGAGCCGGCCGGGGCGCGCCGCAGCAGCCCACGGCCCCGGGGGCGCGGGGCGTCGGGCTGAGGGCGGGCAGGCGAGGCCGGCGGCCCCGGGGCCCCGCCGGGGGATGACTCAGAGCCGCGGCCCCTGCAGCGAAGCCGCCGCGCCGGGCTCCGCGCAGCGCCGCCCCATGCCCGCGCCCCCCGCCCGGGGCCGCCCGCCGCCCTCCGCGCCCGCCGCGCCGCGCACCGGATGATGCCCCCGCGGGGGGCGGCGGGCTCCTGCCGCCGGCGGCGCCTGGCGCCCCTCAACGAGGACAACGGGCGGTTCCTGCTGCTGGCCGCTCTCATCGCGGCGTACCTGAGCGCCGGCGCCACCGTCTTTTCGGCCCTCGAGAGCCCGTCGGAGGCGGCGGCGCAGCTCCGCTGGAACCGGACCCTCCACAACTTCAGCCGCATCTTCAACATCAGCCTGCCGGAGCTGCGCGCCTTCCTGCGGAGCTACGAGGCGGCTATGGCCGCGGGCATCCGCGTCGACGCCCTGCGGCCCCGCTGGGACTTCCCCGGCGCCTTCTACTTCGTGGGCACCGTTGTCTCCACCATAGGTGAGCGCCGCCCCGCCGGGGCCCGCCGGGTGGGTGCTGCGGCCGCGGTCCCCGGGGCGGTCGTTATAGCGACCAAAGTTTGGGGAGAGGCGCTGCCGCGTTGCTATGGCAACCGGGGGGGGGATGCTTACAGTCCGGTGAGAGCCGGGTCCCTGACATCCACCTCACCCCGGGGTTGGGGAGTCGCGGTCCCACCTCCCTCCCCAGTGTGTGGAGCCGGGAACCGGCGCTGCGCTGCGATTCGGGTCTCGCCGGGAACCGCACCGGCCCCCGACCCCAGTAAACTTTTGGTGCGGGCACTGAGGATCCTGAGCGATAGCCGGGTTTTCGCGGTGCCTGACCGCTCAGCTTGGAACTGGTCACTGCTGGCCAAGTTAAGATGCGTACGTGAATCGGGGCATTCGCTGAACTGAGTCTCTTCCAGCTGCACCATAATACACCGTCTCCGTACGTCTCCGTACGGCTGCAGCTGACCGCAGTTACTTGCGTCCGATATGTGATTAGGAAGAGCTGCACTTTATGAGCAAATAGGGACTTTTAGGAGGAGGAATTATGGATTATTTTTTTTTTACTCTAAAATGACCGTTTTTTACTCTACAATATTTAAAAGCATCATTAAGAATTGTCATGTGGGAAATTTCCTTGGAGTAAAGCTGCGGCTTTCTGCTGGTGTCAGAGTGTTGCTTGAGAAATCCTGTCCCTGTGGACACCAGATCTTACCGATTTTGTCTCTCTGATGGCCAGTGTCTTAGGGCTTCTGAGTGTAAATGTCAGGCTTAATTAGAAGGACAGATGTTTATTAGAGGGGCAGAAATGCGCAGCTTGTTGTTGTGCTTAATTCATTACGTTTGGATATGGTTTTATCAATAGTAACTGATTAATAGAGTTGTGACAGTGACTGCAGCAGTGCTGACAAGTGTTGGTACTTTTTGCATCGAGTAATTCAGTTAACTTTTCAAGTACACCCAGTAGTCCAGTCTTTAAAACACCATTGTAAGTAAGTGTTAGGCTGCCTGCATCACAGTAACACAGCACCATCCCTGGAGACATTCAAGGCCAGGCTGGATGTGGTTCTGAGCAATCTGATCTAGTTGAAGATGTCCCTGCTCACTGCAAGGGAATTGGACTAGATGAGCTTTGAAGGTCCCTTCCAACACAAACTATTCTATGATTTTGTGATTTTTAAGAGATCGGTATGACTGACCTGAATGGATAGACGAAGTTGGTGTACACTCTCCTTGCACCTGCTGTAGCAAACTCAGGCAATGTGTAAAGGCAAATCTGCTCACTTCTTTCCAGCCCTGAATTCTCCTCCCTGTGGTTATTGAAATGAAAAATGTTTCCTCTTCATTTGCAAGCATTTGTTTGCATCTCCACTTCATTGCCCTGGCTGCAGTCATTTGTACCTGGGTGAAGGGAATGAGAAACTCAGCAGGGGTTTTGGCAGTCTTGACAGGTGTAAGTGGCTGAACTAAGAATTGCGTTTCTCGTAGTCCTGTAGTGCAATGTAGGGGACTGCTCTCTATAGCCAATAACATCTACATCTCTGTCCTGGGTTCAGCAGTAGCAGTCATTTTTCTCCTTCGTGCGCAAGATTGAGGCTGAAGGTTGTTTTTCCTAAGCTACAATAAAGTCCAGATTCTGCCAAGTGTCCCTCTGAGTGGTGCTTTCCTTTGGCATATTACCTGTTAGTGCTTACTCCTGGATTACTTTCAGTACTGTGAGTTCAGTGAGCCTGCTGTAGAGTGAGGTTTTGCTCCAAGTGAGGAGACGAAGGAGAAGGTGGCTGCAAGTGAAGCTGAGTTGTGCCTTTGGGCATAGTGAAGGCCATGTACCTACCTACCTGGAGTCCATTTGGTTCCTCTTCAGCTCACATGCCATATTATCCTGGTTCTGGGCAATTCCACCTGCCTTCATGTTACATTTAATTGACAAGAACACTGTCATTACTCAACCTTGCCAAGAACTGCCAGACATCTAGAGTCAAAACAACTTGCCTTCCTCAACAACTTCATCATTTACGTGTGTCAAAGCAACTTTCTTACTCCAGCTAAACATGCTCCTATCCTAGTGATGCATCAGAAGGCTTTCTTACTCACTGCTTAACAAACAGCAAATAGATGCCATGTCTGTCGAGCCTAAGTCACCCACAGCTTACTCAGCCTCTTATCAGTAGATGATTCCAACTTACAGAAAACTCGATGCGTCTTTTCAAGTCCTCACTCTGCTCTCACTGGTTTTAATAGAACTACTAAATCCTTTGTATATAGGCATCAAAATAAAGTCACCCAGGGACAGGGCTGCAAGCTCTCCTGGGCTTTGTGTAAGCTGAACAGGGGGAGGGAGGCTCCAGTTCTTCATCCTTCTGTGAACACAAGGGTTAGGCACCATTTGGCTTGGAGAAGACTTCTCCATCCATCCTTCTTGAGCAGAGCCTCTGCTGAGCAGACCGTCTTCCCTTCGTTAGGTGCTTTGTCTTCTTGTACTTCCCTGGTTGCAGTTCTGCGTCTTCCCTAATTACACAGGGACACAGTCAAACCCTCTGGGTGAGAAAGAAACATGTTAGTGAGGTCTTTAAGAAATGGAAGAGAGTAAAAGTGAAATGTTAAGTCTGACCCTAATGCATTTCCCTGAATAGCCCACAAAGCAAGTGGCTTGCAGTCCATAAATCACCCTCTTGATAGCACTCTGGGCATTCATTTTTTTTATTATTGCATTGTTTGTGGTTGAATAATGAAATGTTGAGTCTGTTTTTCATTAGACATATCCCAGTTTTCAGAGCTATGTAAGAAAATTCTTCAGTCTAATTTCTGATGGCTTGCTGTCAGTCGACACCACTTATTCAGTCACTATTTTCACTTCAAAAGGTATTTTTTGTAAGCAGTTATTACTGTTCTGATTTCTTTAAGGAACAGCAAGGTGACATTTATTCTTGAGTCACTGGTCTAACTGGCAATAGACTTTCAGTTGAGTTTTTTCTTTCCTTCCCAGAGTTCAAATCACAAAACCCCAGGACTTTGTTAAGGACTCAGGTCAGTTTTCTTCCTGGTAAAATGTTGCAGAGTACAGCATAGTTGATCATAGTTTTCCCCAGATTCTGGTAGCATAGATTCATTCTGCACAGCACATAAGGCGGCTCTGGGTGCCTGAAGCTCTGGATTTCTAATGCAGTCCATGAGCCTAGACACTACATCCAGATTTCTTTCCCTCTTTTAGGTGCCTATCCAGTAAAACATACTGAGACATCAGCTTAATAAATTTGGATTTTAAGCTTCTTATGTGTAAGTACACACATTTCAAACATCAAACAATACAATTGTTTTATAGAAATCTGTATCAGGCATTAAAATTGAGCTCCAAAGAAGTACTCCAATATGTAAAAGTGATTTTTCAACCTAATGTTTTTAAGAACCACTTATACTGTGTGTGGATTGTGTTGGGATGGAACATGTCTGGATTACGGGTGCTTGAGAAGGGCTCTTGGGAAGAAAAGGTGCAAAGACCTTCTCTCTGCACAGCTGTGTGAGAGTTACAGGTGCTTAGGTCACAGTGTGTAGGAGTGAGCCGGACTGTTTATACTTGCCTTATCCCTGAAGTATCACATTAAATGACTCAGTATTTGGGTGGACTGACAATTCCACCAAAAGGGATGGGACACGCTCTGCTCTTAAAGAGGTGAGGCACAGCCCTACAGTGAGATGAGAGACAGGGCTTAGAAGTCCATGAAGAACAACCATGTAATGAGAGATGTATTTTCTACCAGCTAACTAGCTCCCAGCAGCTGCTCTGTCCTTGCTTAGCGTGTTGGCTGGGTTAGAACTTCTTCTCCCTGGCTACTCTGTAGACACCCAGCATATCCAGCACATCATCTCTGCTTGTGCTCCACAACCTAGGCACCAGAACCACTCACTTCTAAACTATCCTCTGGCTCTGTGTTGTAGTCTTCTGAGAAAATCCGGATGTCCAGATGTGCTGAAGGTGATAATTCAATAGAAGTGATGTGCAAAAGGCAGTTGGACAGCCCAGCAAGTGCATGGTAAGATGTTGGGGAGGGAGTGAGCCCGCCTGAGAGCAGGCACTTCAGATGGTAATTTGGCAAGAAATTCCACAAACAACCCAGATGGTCTGTAGACTTTAAGGGGAAAATATATTTGTCCTGTCTTCATTGTTGTATTTCAGGATATGAATTTGAGCTGCAACTGGGGAAGGTTCTGGCTCTCTGTGGATGCAATTTCACTGTCTGTATGGCCAACATAAACCAAAGGGTGACAGTCAAACCAGAGTGTGCAGCTGATCAGCGTCAGTGTTCTGCTTTCTCAGGGCTCTGCAGTTCTCCAAGGCTTGTACAGGAAGCTTTTGCAGAGGGTTCAGATTAGAGGGCAATGACCCGTAGGATTGACTTTCTTGAAGTTAAAAAATAACCAAGCAAAAACCAAATGAGAAAGCAGTTGGAAGAGCAAGTGGTGTTGTTAAGCTGCAGTGTCAGGTTATTTGTCTTTGCTATCCTATACGTGGTCTGCAGCCAGCATGAGAGTGTGTTTCAGCTTGGTGTGCTGTGACCAGATCTGATTCCATAGCCACGTGTGATCAATGTACCAGTGGATTTCCAGAAGTTATTTTCTCAAGTAATCTTGATGAGGAACAGAGAACAAGATGCTCACTCAGCAGGTCAGTGATCAGCATATTTCTGTGGAGACAAGTGATACGATACTGATTTTCCTCAGATGAAGATTTGGCACCGTAGCGATGTTTTCTGCTTGCCACAGCTGCATAGGACTATTAACTTCTTAGGGTGCCGCTGATAGGGATTTCCTAAATGTGTGGCGTAAATTGGGTGCCCTGAGCAGAAAAGTAATCTAAATCACAGCTTGCCTTCTTGTTGGGAGCAGCAACAGGAAACTTTATTTGGGTTACATCCATGTAATTATGCAGATGACTTGAGGTGTCTTCACTGAAGGGTTGCGATGAAATAATTTTGATCCTAAATTTATTGGATTTTT